CTGAAGGAAGATCTTGCATCCGTCTCGAGAGAAAAAGAAGAAAGAGATGAAGAAAAATTAGGGTTTGTGTCGAATGATTTGGCAATTCATATTTTAAGTTTTTTATTAAGTGTCGGAGTCACAAAAGCATCGCTAATGCGTCGGAAAACATTTTGTATGGTGGCAAAATAAGCCCGCATAAATGGCCCAAAAATTTTCGCGAAAAAGCCCAAAATTTGAGTTTAGAGCCAAAAAAGCGTGGTTATGTAGTCGCAAAAACGTCACTTATTTATGTCTCTTTTGTGACTTTTTTGCGACGCTGGAAAACAATACCCTAAACCCTTGACATTTAGGACCAATAGATTGTGGTTTTCTCCTTCCTATTCAACTTTTAATGTATTATTAACCATTTCATTGCTTATGTGCGTTGAAATCTCACATATCAAGTTTACTTTAACAAAATCTAACACTTAACCACAAACTAAGTATCGTAGTATCGCAGTTTAGTCGCACAAACGTCACTTATTTATGTCTCTTTTGTGACTTTTTTGCGACGCTGGAAAATAATACCCTAAACCCTTATCATTTATGACCAATAGATTGTGGTTTTCTCCTTCCTATTCAACATCTAATGTATTATTAACCATTTCATTACTTATGTGCGTTGAAATCTCACATATCAAGTTTACTTTAACAAAATCTAACACTTAACCACAAACTAATGTGATCTCATTAATTGTAAACTGAATTTGAATTTGACTTTCCATAAATTAAACTTTTTATGACTAATTTAGTGTATAACAATGTAATTTCATACCAATAAATTGTATATACTTCAAATATGTTGTTTAGTTTCCAAATTTCTTAGGCGGAGTTGGAAAAGAGTCACTAAGGAGTCACTGTTGTTTATCTGTGTCGTAGTTTAGTCGCACAAACATCACTTATTCACTAGACGTAAGGAAGGGAAAAAAAAAATTGTTCGAGCGACGGTTCGAACTAGAGTCCTCTATTGGTGTTATTCAATGGAAAATCGTTGGACTATTGTAGCCAATCGTTCTTTTATCACAATATTTGTTATATATGTTGACACAATTTATTTTTATTAACAATAATATAAAATCTCATAAATGCATCGAACACTTAATATTTTAACACTTAAATTATTACACATTAAATATTCTATAAACTTTCTATAAATATTAAATCCCGCACATATATTACAAACATTTTATATAAAATCCGATTTAAATTTCA